CTCAGGGTTTGTTGTTTCTTTTTTTTTAGTTATGAGAAGTTGTTGCACATGGCTTGATAGAAAGCTTCAGCAGGCGATGGTAGCAGTTGCTATAGAACTCCTCTTCTTGAGTGGGTGAGGAACGAAGTGTCATAAAAAGCTCTAAAGCAACAAATCTTCAGGAACAGCAGAGGAAGGTAGCAAGGTTCCCACCAATTAGACAAGCTAATTGGTTCTGGATTCATACAGAGATCATACAGTCTTGGCATTTCACATTCTCCCTACTACACATTTTGACGTTTACCTTCTGTATAGATAGTCCCCACATCCTGAGCAGACAGACCACTTGTAGAAGGAAGTGGGACCTTGTGATGGAGGATCAGATGCCTTTGCAATGCCTTGAGAGTGTTTAATGCTGAAGGGTAATAATATAACTAAAAATGCTTGCTAAGCATACTTATCTGGAGTCAGCAGGTCAGCAGCTACATACCACAAGTTCTTCCTCACACAATTCCTGTAACACAGGAATTACTGAACAGAACATCAAAATCCCCAGGAGAAGAACCCCAAGCACTTATTCTCTTGTGGTCATCAGTAGGCTATGAATGCTGACACTATGGGATCTCTGTGCCCCCCACTCCCAGCAGTGATTGTTTTCCCTAAAAGCTGTAACATTTAGGCATCAACAAGGTTACCAGCTAAGCAGGAAATAAAGTTTCTAAGATGTCTACAATTTTCTCCCCGAATTCAAGATTGAATACCATAGAATGGGTTGGGCTGGAAAGGACCTTAAAGCCTACCTAGCCCCAACTACTTCCATGGGCAGGTTTGCTAGGTCCAGCTGCCCAGGGCTCCATCCAACCCGGTGTTGAAGATCTCCAGGGATGGAGCCCCCGCAACTTCTCTGTGCAACGTGTATCACTGTCTCACCACTCTGAGTCCTTCATCCTAACATCTCATCTAAGTTCCTCTTTTAATTCAGCCCCTTTATTTCCTCCTGTCACATCAACTGCAGCACTCAGCTTGGTGTTGTCTGCAAATTTGCTGAAGGTGCACCGAATTCCTCAAGCCTCAAACCCCCTCAAGCCCCAAGACAGCCCCCTGGGGTGCACGACTTGTCACAGATCTCAACCTGGACACAGAGCTGCTAACCACAACACTCTGTCTGCAGTCATTCAGCCAACTCCTTGTCCACCCTTCAAATCCATCCCTCTCCAGTTTAGAGTTAAGGATATACCCATTTCATTGAGAATTTTTTCACTACTTTCTTCTGCTTTGTTTGCAATATATTTTGAAGCATACATGCAGGGTTTTTTTCCTACTTCCTTCCCCCCAGTATCTTTACAGTCCTTGTTGACCTATTTAAGCTAGGGAAAGATGTTAACATGGAAACAGGAGGCTGTAAACTGGAGAATTTAAAAATATTTTTGAGAAAAGGAAAAAAAATATTGCTTCTTCACTTGAAAATAGAAATAGAGAAGCTTGCTCATCTCACATCTTTTCAGATGAGATCAGACAGTGGGAAGAAGGTAGAAATGGATGTAGCCAGAGGTTATTGCATATGAGCAAAACTGTAGGGTTGCTTAAACCTGTATAGTTTGGAGTGCTGCACTTAGGAAGCATGGAGAGCTGCATGGAATTCTCCAAATCATGAAAAAGGTGATCTCACAAAAATGTCACACAAATGAAAGCCAGTACTTTGAAACTGAAAATCATTTCTTACCTGTTCTTCATGTTCTTCTTTTAAGAAAATTTAATTAACTGATATGAGCCAGCAGTGTGCCCTGTCAGCCAAGAGGGCAAACTGCATTTTGGTGTGCATTCAACACAGCACAGCCAGCTAGTTAAGTGGACATTCCCCTGCTATACTTTGTATTGATGCAGCCTCACCTAAAGAACTGCATATAGGAGGCTCAGGGTGATTTTATGAATGTGTATAAATACCTGAAGGAAAGATGGAGAGAGGATGGAGCCAGGCTCTTCCTCTTCTCAGTAGTGCCCTGTGCTGGGCTGCTAACATAGGAGCTTCTGTCTGAACATCAGGAAACTTTTCTGAGCACTGGATAGGCTGCCAAGAGAAACCATGGAGTCTCTTCCTTGGAGATGTTCAGAAGCCACCTGGGCACCCTGCACTGGGACTGACTAGCTGACTCCAGACATCCCTTTCAACCTCAGCCAATCTGTGATTTTTATACTTCTTAAGTCGCAATTTTTATACAACTATTAATTTATGCTTTTAACTCTCTGCAGACCAAAAAAAGTTTGATGACTGTATTACAGTTGTAACCAGAGGCCAACTGTAGCCAGATGCCTAGTATGCTAAGGAGTCTGAGCACCTAGAAGCCTACATGCTCTGGAGAAGCAACAACATAACCACGCAAGAAAGCAGATGAGGAAGGGGATATGTTGACCTCTGCTTGAAAATGTGGAGGAAACAAAACCAAAATGGAAGGTTATTTTTAGGGGCATGCAGTATTAACTTCTACTAGCTAACAGCAGTGCCCCTGTTGAAGTCAGTAGGAGATAAGCCAGCGGGAAGACAAGACCTGTTGCAGATTCCACAGGACCTGAAGCCAAATATACTCGGTCCAATTCCAGCATGTTAGATTTTTTCTCTTCTCCTCTCCACACACCTTGTATTTTTCCAAGTAAAATGCCAGAAGTTAGCTTTAAAAATATTCTCTGGAGTCCACAGGATAAAACAGCAAAGACAACTGTTGAAATACAACATTCCACAAGCATTCTACTTTTATCACAATGAATTACATTTGGCTCTCCTTGCTCCCATTCACACTACAAACACCATTTTGCTATTTTTGTCTGTGAGACTCAGTCTGCAGTTATACTTTCATCTACTCTAGTCTCTCTGCCTCTAGAAATGCCAGCTCTGTGAAGCAACTTACTTGTTTGTATCTAGTCTTTTAAGGGGCAAGAAACACAAGCTAGAAAAAAATGTCTCTTGTATGCCAGCATTTAAAAGAGGATACAGTTCTACAGTCCTTAATTTTATTATCCTCCCTCCCCAGCACGCGGACCTTAAATCATTCATCATAGTGAATTCACCACCATAGCCTAGCACAGAACTACAAAAGAATGCAGATCAACTTTCTTCAGTCAAGTGCCTCAAACTGAAGCACAGTGATAGAAACCAGCTGCACCTCTGTCTCTTCATGACTCCCTCTACTAGCATCAAAACAAATCTGTAGACAAAGATAAGTCTACTGCTGGGGGAGAGAGCATAAGGATGATTCCCACATATCTGCTCTACTGTACTCTACAGTGCCCCATTAACAAAAAGAGATTATTTGAAGTCTGAGCTTTTCCCCAGGCTTCTGTTCATAGGATGCAAATACTTTTTTTTTTTTTTTAAATTAAAAGAAACTGCATAAAACAGGTCTCTGTATGAGACAAGCCAGTGCTACAATTAAATCTCACATCTTTTCAATACAAGGTTTTTTTTCTTTCATCTTGCAATTAAGTAGCTGCTGTACAATTTCAGATGTCAGAGGAGGAAACAAATTAAAACAAAGCAAGGGAGTTAAGCTACTACAAACTTCAGAGGATGAGCATGGAACACTGCAGCACTGAAACCCATACAAAAAAAAATGTAAGCAAGCGAGAGGAGGGTGACTTTATTCTGCAGAATTCTTCATATAATAGTAGGACTATAAACATCTTTTTGTAAGGATATACTGATCGTAACTGTTAATTTCAGTTTAGCTTCTCACTTAAACCTCACTTTCTTCTTCCTGATGTCACTTTATAGCGCTTTATATATAAAGTTTATAGCTAGAAATTAGTCTCAACATTTCCACATACAGTTGAGAATGACTCCCAATATTTGTACAGAAGAACTTATTTATGCCATACCCAATATAAAAATCACATTGATAATAACTGAAGACTCTCCAGAACAACTTCAGTTGTCAACTATACACATTTCTTGAAAAGAAAAAAAGCTAAACGATTTGTAATGAAAACCACAAATCTTTATTGAAACACTACAGTACCATGTTTATACTGCTAAAATAAACTTATACTTAAGGTACATCATAACAATTCTGTCTACTTCACAAATATGCTGTTGTGTGCAAAATGCTTCAATTCAAAATGCTTTATTTGGAGAAGCTTTTAATACAGTTGAAATCCACATGCGATGACATGCTTGGTAGTATCTGTCTTGTTCCATGGAGCAGATGATATGGCCAGTGATGTTTATTAACATTCTGGTGATGTTTTTCCAACAGATGTGACATTTCTCAAAATGTACATTCTTAATTAAAACAAAAAACAAGACACACAACAGACTTATAGAAGAAGGCCACTAAGATGATCAGAAGGCTGGAGCACCTCTCATATGTGGAAAGGCATGAGGGAACTGGGATTGTTTAGCTTGGAGAAGAGAAGGCTCTGGGGATACCTCATAGTGGTCTTCCAATACTTGAAGTGTATAAACAGCAGGGGGAACTGCTCTTTACAAGGGCGGATAGCGATAGGACAAGGGGAATAGTTCTAAACTGAGACAGAGGAGGTTTAGGTTAGATATTGGGAGTTTTTCACTCAGAGAGTGATGACACACTGGAACAGGTTGCCCAAGGAGGTTGTGGATGCCCCATCCCTGGAGGCGTTCAAAGCCAGGCTGGATGTGGCTCTGGGCAGCCTGGTCTGGTGGTTGGCAAGCCTGCACATAGTTGGGGGCGGGGAGGCTGAAACTAGATGATTTTTGAGGTTCTTTTCAACCCAGGCCATTCTATGATTCTATGATTACTTATTGGAGGATTTTCCCAGTAATAGCAATTATTATCTCAAGCGATTGTTGCACTATTAAGATAAGGGAATTCAAAAGATCTAACCATCCTCGATGACAGCAAGAGTTCAGCTACTGCAGCCTGCCATTTTAGTGAAGTGACTCAGCCAGGGACCCTCAGCAGGCACCTCTGAGCTGTCAGAGCCCTCTTGTGGACACTAAATACAAGCTTTTCTTGCCTCGCTGCAACTGAACAGTTTTCAAACAAACCATCTTTAGCTTTCGTTTGTTCAGTACTTGACCCAATAATAGTATACTTGTGTTTAGCAGATAAATTTTACTTTCTCAGCTTTGTGCAATGTGTTTTTTTTTTTTTTTTTTTTTTAGACCGGTGAAAAATTCTGCCGTTCTTAACTCCAAGTCAAAAAGAGGCCAAGAGATACAATAATGTAATAGTGAAAGACTCAAGGATTGCTATCACCTGCAAATAAGCAACAAAGGTCTAAAAGTCTCTGCTCAGGAAACATAGTTGCAAGAAGCTTGCTTACACTGAACAGCAATTTTTCTCTATTCCGAAGTTCACACCGCATGGTTCTTGTCACGGGACAGCTTCACAATTCCCAAAGCAGACTTAGTACACTCATCATACTGGGACTAATTACTTGGTACTAATTTGTACTATTGTATTAATTACTTTGACATCTAAAAAGTGTCTAATTTAAAGGTCTGCTCTCTAACTTGAACATTTTACATTCTATTCACTCAGTACAGGACTCAAAACACTTCTACTTTTATCATTAGCATGACTTCCCCCCATTAAAGGATCCAAATCCAACAACTGGCTTAGATCACCAGTTAGGTAAAATTACTATAAAAGTTTCACAGCTTCTTCTTCAGCATTCAAAATGTATGTATGCCACACAGATTTTAACTGTGCAGTCCAGAACTGTAGGTACACTGAGCATTCTAACTGGTCTCAAAGGACAAGTTGATGCTGCCAGATGTTTCCCTGATGATACACCTCAAATTATTCACCTGGCATGCAGAACAGGAGCTTCAAAAAAGCTTCAAGAGACAATAAAACACTTAAGTAGAGCTAACTGTTATTGCATATAATAACGTTTCATTTTCAGGCTCTGCTACAAGTAAGGAAGAAATATCTGACTCGGACACAAAGAGGAGTCCTGTCCTGATAAGCTGAAACAAGCCTTTTCTTCTGATCTTTTCAACCAGCTGCCTCCCCTTCACCCCTGCCACACACACCCACTTTTTTTTTTTTTTTTTTTCCTCCAAAGGGAAAAGCCTCTGTGACAGTATCATTCTTAGACACCTTTGTTCTTGTGTACGTGTAAGAAACTCAAACCATCAATTCATAACCACTAATTTTGCTCAGCTGCAGAAGGTCTGGAAATGATTGAGTTTAAACTCCACAGTTTGAATGTGCTTTTGTTACTGTTTTCAAAATTGAACTGATAACAGTTCTTCTAAGAGGAAGAAGAGCAAAACATCAGAAATCCCATGGGAGTTCCAATAATACTTCTCGTGAACGGGTGATTTGAATCATTGTCTGGAAAATAAAATATAAGTAGTTTCAGTTTAGTCTAAAAGTACACTGGACAAGACTGCAAATATTTTTAATTGTGTTGCTATAAAAAATTGTAGTGGGCTAGTTGTTTTAAATCTTACCAGCAGTGAAAAAATTTATCTACTAAAAGAGTGCTGCATACTTTAAAATACAAAAACATTTGACCAAACTAATCATTTCCTTTAAAATGCTTCCTGCCAAGCTTAGAATTACCTCACAAAGCCAATCTCACAACACTGCAACAAATAACTGAATTCAGGTACTTCCTTTTAACCCATTACTCAGGCTTCAAAGAAGCTTTCCAACATTTATAGCAGTTTTTAAGTGTTCAGCAGATATTACTCTATTTGCTAAACAATATCAGACTGCAAAATTGCTCTTACTGTTGATAGATCAATAATGACATGGGATAAGTCATTATCTCCGTGGCAACAGGATTGCTGTAACTGTTAGAGGAACATTGCGCATGTTGCTGCTGCTGCTCTAACAGGCATGCCTCGGCTTCCTCGCACCACTGCTCTCTCTGTAAGCCTGGTATGCCCAGAGTACCACCAACCAAGGGCATCTCTTTGACTACAGAGGATTCCACTGCAGCTGAGGTTATGCTGTTCCTGAAGGAGCTTACCCCCACAAGGATTTATGACCCTTCAGTGTGATGTCTCCATTTCGCTTCTCTTTTCTTATTAACCATATCCTTGTGGAAATAGCTGGAATTAGACATGGGATTCCAAATACAATCAAGTTTCCATCACAACCTAATGTGTGTCTATTAATTTTTAATTGAGAATTCTAGTTCAGCATGGTAACATCTTTGCCTTTTTAATTAAATTTCACTTAATTCCCTTCCTGAATCTCCAGAACATTAAAGCAACAGGCATCTTTGTGGTAGATCAGAAGTGACAAACTGGGCCACTTAGCCTCTTCTACATAAGACTCAGGGAGCTTCTCCATAACACATCAGTTTGACAAAGAAACAAAAATATAAAAGACATACATTTTGCAAAGATTAAATAAGCTTTATCCACTATGAATTGTTGCACATGCAGTGAACAACCTTGCTCATCAATCATAACACATAAATCACAGAAAACAAGAACTCTTCTATGTCTTGGTCACAAGATGGGTTGGTTTCCGAAAGTAACACAGATGGCTGTTACTACTACCAAACGTTCAGACGCCATCCCCACAAAGCAGGGAATACGCTCAGATTTATTACTTGCGGGACGCACTGCTTTTGTTCTTTAGCCCCGCAAACGCTCCCTCTTACCGCACGTCCCTCGCTGCTGCCAGCTTCCGCGCTCCGCTTAGCGCTCGGCAGGAGCCCGGGGGCTGCCGAGGAGCTCCAGCGGAGCGGGCTGCGCGCACGGGGCAGCCCCTAAAGAGCCTCTGCACCCACCCCTCCATCTCGTACTCCCGGGCTCCGCTTTTATGCTTCGGCAGAACCACCGCAGGACTGCCCTCTCGGCGAACAAAGCCGCTCCCGACCACGTTGCGGCGCTGGGCTCAGCAGGGTCCTACCCTGCCTCCCCTTTGAGCTGCAAAATGAAGGAAGGCAGCCACCACCCGGAAACGGAAGAAAGGAGGCACCAGCCGATGACGCGCCCACACGGCTTCCCGGGATAAAGCAGCGCACCGGGCAAAAGCCTGACCGGTAGCGGCTAGGGAGTGGGCGGGGAGGCAGCACCCCCCCCATCCGATCGGCCTGGATTGACAGGTGCTTCTTCCAATATCGCTGCAATAACGCAGTTCCCTCCGCAAATAGGAAAGAGAGTGCTGATGGGAGGGACAAAGCTCACAGTGCTTTCACGCTATTGGCTGTCGGTGTTGATCGGCGTCTCGTTGCACCTATGCAAAGGAGAAGTTCCTCGCGACCTTTCGCGCCCTCGGCCAATAGGATTGTAGTGCAGGCTCGGGTCCGGCGGTGCGGGGTGGGGACCGGCAGTGGACGCAGTCGGGTGGCCGGGGCAGGATGAGCGGGTCTTTGCGTGCGGCCCTGCGCCTGGGTGCCTGGGCAGCGCGGGGCCGACCCGGGCGGCGACACCTGAGCGAGGCGGCTGGAGGCAGCGGTGGGGCCGATGGCGGCGGCGGCGGCGGCGGCGGCGGTGGCGGCTCGGGGTCGCGGGAAGCAGTGGAACGACTGGTGCGGGAGCACCCGGTGGTGGTGTTTATGAAGGGCAGCCCGGCGCAGCCCCTCTGCGGCTTCAGCAACGCCGTCGTGCAGATCCTGCGGCTGCACGGCGTGGAGGACTACCGTGCCCACGACGTGCTGCAGGACCCCGACCTCCGGCAAGGTCAGCGGGCCGGGGTCATCTCCAGGCGCCACCTCCGGGCTGCGCACCGCCGGCACGATGGGGCTCGCTGCTCCGTGCTGGGTGTTGTTTGTTTTGCTTCGGCTTGTGAGCGGCTTGTACCCAGAGCCTGGGGCTGTGCATCGCAAAGACGAGCTCACGGGACGGAGCCTACGGGTCGGGGTTCCGTGCCACACCGCTTTCCCTGGTTCATAGACACGGAGGTCTGGAGCACTTCAAAGAAAGGTTGAGGGAACTGGGGCTGTTTAGCTTGGAGAAGAGAAGGCTCCGGAGAGACCTCATTGCAGCCTTCCAGTACTCGAGAGGAGCTTATAAACAGGAGGGAGAGAGTTTTTACGTGGTCTAATAATGATAGAACAAGGGGAATTGCTTCAAGATAAAAGAGGGGTGATGCGGGTTTGGTGTTAGGAGAAAAATCTTTGCTCAGGAGGTTGTTAGGCACTGGCACTGCTGCCCAGAGAGCTGTGGGTGCACCATCTCTGGTGGTGTTCCAAAGCCAAATTTGATGGGGCCCTGGGCAGCCTGAGCAGGTGAGGGGTGACCGTAACCATGGCAGGCAGGGAACTGAGCGAGCTTATGGTCCCTCCCAAGCCAAACCATTCTACAGTTATCAGATGTGTTCTTTTCACTGTGAACAGTGTTGTGAAACCTCATGAATGGTTTGGACTTGGACCACTTTGTTCTCTGCCAGATGGGGTTCTTTGCTGTTTTTGATGAAGTACGATGCTATGTTTTGTTATGATAATTGTTTGCACAAGAAATATTTGCATTACTGTGCAAACGGTAGGAGCTATTCTATATGTGTTGTGGTTGTTTGTTTTACTTGTAGAAAGCCTATACTCAGTTCTTATGATGCTTCCATTTTTCCCCTTTCCCTCTGATATATGAGGTTGACTTGAGGTTTTATGTGGCTAGTATTGCAGGTGCGTATTGTTAATTCTTCTAGTCCAAACTACACCAAATTGTGATTTGAATTTGCATGCTGTTATGCATCAAGTGACCTCAAGTGATTTGGTATCAGGCTGTGTGGACAACCAGCTTGCTGTAATACCAGCACTGTTGAGTTTGCAGGCTGGCCTGGCTCATTGCACTGTGGGATGAGCCAGTGCCAGAGGTGGAGCCTTGAAGTGCAGAGTTACCTGAGGACACCCTTATTTTTGAGGTCAATTGCTTCCTGTACTACCTCTTTTACCCTGAAAAGCCACTGTATGTTCGCTTTAGTGAATGGCAGCTTGTAGCAGAGGGGAGAGATGCTGGAAGCTGTAGCTCTGTAGCTTGCCAAATAGGATTCACCAGTGACTGAAGCTCTTTGTCCCTTTTGGTCTCAGGTGCTGAAAAGTCAGATACCCTAAACATGGCACTTTCCTAAACCCTCTTCACGAACGTATTCTTTACTGATATGTACGTATGGGGATAGTGAAAAGATGTTAAATTTTTATCAAATATCTAACACTTCTGCTCAGCTTAAGCGTTGACATATAAACTGGGTGCCAGCGAGGAATGTAAGTATTTGCATATTTGTATGCTTATAGCACTTGTAATAAGAGTTTGCTTTTAGCAGAGGTGATAATTCAGGCACATTTGACTAGTTTCTTCCCTGTACCTACACCACATTTTGAGGTTGTTATTTTTCATCTGTACTATAACTGATGTACTGAAGCTTTACCTTTGCTGAAATAAGGCAGGCTGTAAAAACATCTCCCCACCTCTGCTTATCATCTGAAAGCACTCTCAGGTCTACAAAACTATTTACTAGTACTTATGTTGAATGATTTATGTGAACTTGAGCTGAGGAATGTGTTTCCCTGACACAAATCCTTCATTTTGAAAGAGAACTCTGTGCTCTCTCTTAGGCTGTGGTTCCATAACAATTTATGTTTCTTCAAGTTGACTTTGCCACAGGTGATTCTAATTTGGCAGATCAAATACTGTGAGGCTAGTTCAGATCAGTGTGGTGACAGAAGCTTGGGGTTGTATACTGGAGAAATAGTGGTTTAAACTGGTTTGATCTACTGCAATTCACCCTCAGATTGTTTCAGTTGGGATGCAATTAATGTTTCTTTACATTATTTAAGTACTGGATGCTGTCACAGATCTTGATATTTCTTCCCACCCTTGGGCTAGTTCTACCAGTACTAATGATCTCTGTGGAAAGGTGATGCTTTTCTGGAGAATGTGGTAGGAGTGAGAGTGGTTGCTTGACTCAGTTCTTTGATATGCTTCAGCATTTGTTAGTGCTAATGCTGGTTAAAGAGAGGCTGAGATTTGGTGGTGGGAGTTCTCTGGGCACCCCTTTTAGTAGCAGTTTGCACAGATGATGGTTTTGCAGTCACTGCAGTGTACTAGTTCAACTGTCAAGCTTTAAACCTGATCTGCGGAGTGTGTTTTACAAGACAGTGTTTCAAAGGTACAGCTTCTGAAGCACAGAAGGAAGTACTTACCTGCAGGGAGTGGGAAGAAGCTCCCTGCAGTGTCTGTCCATACTGCTGAAAGATTAATAGCGCAAGTGCATCCCGAGTTCAGCAAGCATAGACTGGACTGGCTTGCTTCAGTGCTGCTAAAGTAGTGTTGGTAAACGCCATATTAAACTAGGGACTGCTGAACAGGTTGAGGAAATGTTTTGTTTGTAATCCGGTTGAGTCTGAATACACAGGCTTTGCCCAATGCATAGAGTGTGGCATGTGATGTTCATATTGTCATCTAAAGTTGAATAGATCTTAAAAAGACCTATCAGTGCTTGTCTGCATATGCTGTTGGGTCTTAGTAGAAAATATTTCTGTGGAAGAAAAATTGGTTTGCAGTGCTTGCTGGCATTAAATTGATATGTGGTGCCCTTGGTTTAGCATTACAGTATCTTAACAAAAACCACCCTTATTTCATATCTGACTTCTTTGAGAAGGGATATCCTTAAATTTGCCTTTGTGTATGGACTCAATTCTTCATTGCAGTTGTTATGAGTTAAAAGGATTTTAGTATAAAAAGATTTGCTTCTTAAACACTGTTCACATCACAAGTTCACATTAAAACTTAAAATTTCAGCAAACTTCCTCTAAACAGCCAAGAAAGGGTTTAATGAAATGCTAAGGAAGAAATTGCAAGTGGTGATGCTGAAGATAGGAGCTGATGTTGCACTTTATAGTTATAGTATAGTATATACACTATAGTGTGTAGTACAAAAGGTTTTTCTTAGATCACAGTTATCGTAGTAGATTTTATTTTTAACACTGGTATTTGATTTCTGAATTGATGGTTTTGTGTGGAAAGTCATTTGGCAAATTAGATTCACTGATTTTTCTGTATGATATTTTTCCTGGTGTCTCTAAATGCATTTTGGGATGCATTTATGCCATTTGGTCAGTCAGTATTTTTGGATGGCTTTGTTTATTTTTTTATGAAGTATATTTTTTAATTTAATGCCGTACTTCATAATTGTGACTCTAGCTTCATTTGATGCAGTCAGCTCCTCTAAGAGACTTCATTCTTTGTGCCCCTCCCTTGAGCTGTAAGGTCTGGCAGTGAAAGATAAAGCAATTTGAAATTCATAAGGCACTTAAAGGGGCAAATGTATGTTGTAATTGAAATTGCGGTAGTATGTCTTTTACTGAATTCACACAGCTATAATGTATTTTAAAGTCCCTTAGGGAAATATAAATGGCAGTGGGATCCAAACTGTTCTCAGTGGTTTTCAAGATTTCCCATTTCTTAACATATTTGTTTCCAGGACAGGGAAGGGCATGCTACATTTTTTCCAGCACATGTGAAGTTGTTGCAGCAGCTGAGCTGACTGCATATCTTTCAAACCACATCCAGAGTTGGAGCGAGAGCCAAACCTACTGACATAATTTTTCTTTCAGTGTTCCTGTTAGATAGAAAAATTATTACCTCAATGGGGAAGAAATGAAAATATCAGTTGACCGATTGAAGCAATTGTATCTATTTAAAGTCCTATTCTATTTGTAGAGTTGGGGAAAATGTGTAACAATTTTGTTTTCCTTTTTGTAGGAATAAAAAACTACTCCAACTGGCCTACCATCCCACAGGTATACCTCAATGGTGAATTCGTTGGTGGCTGTGATATCCTCCTCCAGATGCATCAGAATGGAGATCTCGTAGAAGAGCTAAAGAAGTTAGGAATCCGCTCAGCACTTCTGGATGCAGAAAAAGACCAAGAAAAAAAGTAAAATGAGGAAAAGAAAAAGATGCCTTGATGGGAAGGAACGAAATCTTTGATAAGAACTTGTAACCAGTAAAGCCTTATGTACTTCAGTTCAAAGAAGGCATCTTTTTACACTGACACTAAGATTTATCAGTGGATGTCTGTTAGCTCATGGTAAATGTAGTGATGTCAGTATTTTGATTTATGGATATTGCGAAAATTTGATTATAACCACTGTACTATAAAGCATACACATGTGGAAATTGTTTTTTAGAAAAGTTCACTTCTAAAAGGATTCTTTTGATTGATGCAGGAGTAAACCAAAATAACTAATAATAATGCTATTGTTATTGATTTTGAGTGTTTCTTTGTTACACAAGCTTGTGCAAACAGTGTTTGCATTCCCTTGCTCTTGAAAAAGTGCTAAGTAGTGCTTGTGCATCTGTGGGTTTTCTTGTTTTTGTTTTTGTTTTTTATAACTCCTGATGATAAGAATTCCCAAGAACCTGTAAAGTTTCTGCTATCTCACATGATATACAGGAAAAAGCCCTCCAACAGTACATGAGAAATCGTGGTATGAGAGTGCATGAAATACACTTTTGTTCCAAAGGGTAAAAATAAACACACTAGTACAAATACATGTATAGTGGTCATTTATTACTTTGTATCTTCCCGTTAGCTTTTAAAGGACTGCTATGAATTGTGCCTGAAGATTTTTATAAAACCTTTTCTACCTCTTGCAAAGTGGCTTTTCCCTGTTTATATACTTGGTGTACTGCAGTTTATCTGTGTCAGTTCTAGAATGTGGGAATTGTTAAGGCTTCAGTATTCTTGTTTGCAGTAGTACAGGAGAATACTTCAGTAGTTACTGTATTATTTGCTAGTTACTAAGTTATCTGTTTAGATCTGTTGTGTTCCCAAGTATTGTCTCTGCACAGCTGTGGTTCCTGGACTATGGTCTTCAGACAGGGGTTAAACAGTTTAAAGTTTCATTGGAGACAAGATCAAAAAGTACAGCAGAAGGGCTACTGAAAATATCCAAAGTGTTTCTTTGTTGGAAGCTCTGGGAAGTCTTCAAGCAACTATCTAACCTTGTTTTCCTGTGTGCAAATAAATAATCTTAAAACAGTGTAGCTTCACCTGGACAGTAATACTGCTAAGGATAAAAGTTAACCGCACTGTTTTTTAATGCCATTTACCTTTATGAATGCAGACCAAGGAATGGTTTGCATGTGAGCTAAGCAAGTGATTGGAAATAAAGCGTTTCATGTAGATTGTCTGCAAAAGTTCCTTTTTATTTTAAATTACTATAATGAAACTGATGCTGCTTTTAATGTGAAATCTAAAGAAGTAAGGAAGAAAAAAAAAAAAAACCCTCACTGGAAGAGGAGCTCAGAACTGTAACTGGTAGAATGGGGCCTTTAATGCAAGTTTCAATTTTCTCTCTTTCATGTTCACCAGAGCAAGCTGTCTTGTAGAGAAACTATGTCTGTGCAGCTTGAACAGAATTTGCAAAATGTGTGCTGGTTACACTATATTTATTGTATAGTTTACTGTTTAGTTCAAATGCAGTCAGTATATATTTATGCTTAAATAGCATCTCAGCTTAAACAGCCACTCAGCTTCACTACCAGTAGAAGTGACTTAAGCATGAATGCTGATTATGAATAGGCTGTGCTCAGAGACAGTCAGTTGTGATTATTAGTAATGTAGGTATAAGCACATGATTTTTTTTTTTTTTTTTTTTTTTTTTGTTCATACACCATATCACATGAAATGCAAAGCTCTAGTTCAGTTTAACTTCTTGAAATTCTGATTAAATGAGTTTTCTTACAGCTAATCTTTGAGTGGTTCTTGCCATTCTAAATGTAAGATGAGGTTTGGAAAAATAAATAAATTTCAAAAGTTTTTTGGTTATTTGTGTCAAAAGACCAACTGAGATGGTTGTATACTGTAAACAAAGATAAGGTAACTTGAAGAAAAGCTAATCATTTTCTACTTCAGTGTTTAATTCTTAGTCTGGCTACTACATCTACTTAAACAGCTGTTTCATGGTGCTTTATTCTTTTGTGAATGTTGAATATATTTCAATATTATTATCTGCTGCTGCTTTAACATAAAGGTGATTTTAGCATTGTCAGATCCTCTTTCTCTGAGCAACATTTTTTTCTCCCTGCACAAACTCCTGCTGTTACTAGAACTATGAACAGTTTTTCTACTTTCTCTGTCTCCCTTAAAAAAGAAAAAGTTAAAATTTTGTACAGTATGTAGTGCTGTTTATATAAATCCTTGGCTTAATTAGAATATCGTAAGTGAAGAAGTGAAAAGGAAGAATGACACCAAAAAGCCACAGGAACAGGAGCATAAAATTTGATTTCTGCCTGCATTCCTGGAGGAGATGTATCTTTCCAGGCTCTGTGCACGTGAGCTGTTGTTTTACTTGTTACCTCTGTGTAGATGCTCATACTAATGTCACTGCAATGAAAAAAAAAATCCTCTATTTAAGTGATAAAACTTTGGTTGCCTACAAAGAGGTTTATTTTGAGTGTTAATTGAGAATTTCCCCACAATTTAATTCTCTGGTTGATTGTTTTAGAAAACTGGTGCTACTCCTTTAAGGGAAATAGAAAAGGTATCGTTGATGAATGATTTGCACTTGCTTTTCTCATACTCTGTGTAAAAGAGAGAACAGCTGCCAGTGGTGGTGTCTGGAGTGTCTGATGTCAGTTAATGGATATACCAAGCAAATTCTCAGGGATGTAAGCTTGAGGAGTCTGTGGTCTGGAGGATGTGAAGGGTTGGAAGGGAGAAAGGATGACTGCCCACAGTAGGAAATGTCAGGAGGCAGCAAGGGAAGGAATGATGCGGGAAGTGTTGGGAAAACCCCTGGGTAGTGCTGCTTGTATTCCTCTCATACAATAAAATAGTGCTCAGAAACACAGCTTGGGAAGGCTGGAGATACCAAGGAGGATGACTGAGAGCCGGCACAGAGCTTGCCTCGCTCTCTCTCTCTGAAGAAAGAAGCAAAGCTACACGCTCCTGAAGTTTGCCATTGTACAAATACATCTCTATACAACAAGAATCAAGACTGATAACGAGCACTGCCACCTGCACAGCTTCTGATCAATGTTGGCCACATCATGAATCCTCTGAATCCCACCCAATATTGCACTCTTCAGTTCTCATATGGCACCTTGGGCATGTATTCTAGCTGGCTGTGCCTCCAGCAAGTTGCTTCTGGACTCGTTTGGGCTGTGTTGCACTGTTGAGGGATTGCAATGAGAGGAATGCGTGTAAATCATTAACTGCTATTCTACTACTTTAGGATGTAGTCCGAACATTTACCAAACTGGAAAGTTTCCTACTATTATTGTAACTTATACACTGAAACTGATATTTTCAGAGTATTCCTTTGGTAATGTTGCTGTGGTAAAAGGCTGAACTGAATGGACAACGTGCTCACATAAATTAAGGTAATCCTTTGCATCTGGTAGCACTTCTCACCTGTCACATATAAAACGAGGTGGTTTGATTTAAGCAAATGGAATCCTTTATGGAGTATGTGCAAGCTGTTTCCTCATCACTTAAACCTTCAGCGAAAAGGGGTGGGCTTCCTTGATCTTACTGAGTTAGTCAGAGGCAGATGGAAGTAGGCTGCAACTGTCCGTTGTGTTGCTAGTTTTCATTTAGGGGAATTCAAATCAATTAAACTGAAAACTACTTCCTAGAAAAGTTGTTACCAGCTCCCAGCATCCTAATGGATTACAGGGTGTAGCAGAAATGCTGAGTCATGGCCTGAACCACTGATTGAGCACCTGGTGGGAAGGCAGGGCCAACCCAGCGGAGCGCAGGTGCAGGCAATGCAGCTGAGTGACTGGAAGGGTTGGAACCAGGATCCACCCCTTCCCAGACCTCATTTAAAGGTTGGCAGTGGAGGTGAGAGTATTCTACTTAAGATCTTTGTAAGCCTGAGGTTTTCTGAGGTTAGTAGCTTCCTGCCCTCTCTTCCCCTCCCTCTTTCTGTTCTTACAGCTATTGCATTTGAACAAATCCTGCCTTGATGCAGTCTAGGGCCTTGTTGCTGTGCTTTTTAGGAGTCTCTCAGGACTAATGAAGTGTGAAGGAAATAAAGTGTGGGGGAGTGTGAAAGCAGAGAATTGTACCAACGAAAGCCTCTCTGAGCTGCCCGAACCTAGCTGAGGCCTTTTCAGTGCCCGCCTCTAAGAAGGGTGGTATCAAAATGCAAACTGCTGTTTGAGCAATAAGTCTCTGTCTAATTCAGTTTGTGTAGATGCAAAACTTAGCTCTCCTTACAACAGGTATTTCAACATCAATGTTACAGGGTTGTGCAAGGAGAAAATGTTTGTTTGTTATGAGGCAAGCACTGATTCCTCAAGTCTCTGAGAGCAAAAGTGGGAAGATAATGGATTAGAGGGTTTGAAGCTTTTGGGTTGTTCACGGTGTTGGCTGGTGCATCCACTTCCCTTTTCATCTGAAAGAGTGATCATCCAGTTTCTCACTATTGTTTCATTTTTTTTGGAAGTGAAGGTGGTTTTAGCTGGGCTGTTGTATAAAATTTGTGATTGTTGTAGAGTGAGCCTGAGAAGAAAGGAGTGGTGTTGCATATAAGAAATTGAATATATTCATAGTTTCTATGATCCCTTTGATGAACCAGCCATCAGAAATGCTGGCAGGGCAGCAGGCTGCTGGCTTATCCTTCCTCTCAACAATAAAGAAAACCTTTTAAGGGCAGCTTTTATTCTTAAATTATTTAAATGTTTTAAGGTTTTCAGGACAGAATAAATAAGCACACTAAACTTTTTAATAGAGGAAGTCACTTAAAGGTTGCTTCTTGAGCTGTTGAAGTATGTACCATAACTTCTGAAGTACTTTATTATCTTCAATATTCATTCAGAAGCATCTTTATTAGTTAGACAAATTAATCCTCATGCGTGATGGAGAAATAGTATTTTTTTTTAATTGCAATCATTCTACATGTGAAACTATGTGAGTGCTCCTATGCATATACAGTGAGACATTTGCATTTGTGCGTATGTTTCTGTAGCACTCTGCTGTCTTTCTTGATGTTAAGCTTCCACAGGAGGTTGGTTCAACATTTTTTTAAAGATGAGCTCCTGTAAAATTTTACTTTGTGTTTAATAGTAAGATGAATCAAAAGGGCTTTGCAGTATCGAGTTTAGAAGAAACATTAAATCACTTTTCCTTGTTATGAGTCCATTCTTCAAGGTCCAAAGGATTTTTTTTGTACAGTTCAGCTTCAAAACCATGAAATAGAGCACCCACGTGTTCATTTTACAGGCCACAGTACACTGAAGCACAGATAAGTGATTTGCTAGTCATACTATAAATGCTACAAAGCTAAGAAAAGTTCTGGAGTCTTTTGTCTTAAGCCTATGATCCAGTAAGTGAAATGTGTTTTTTTTAAAGAGTATATCAATGAGCATTTTTGAGTTCTCATGTCAGATCCACACTACAGTTTGTATTCTTAAAATACTACTTATCAGCCAAGAACTCCCTGCTGAACAGCCATACCATGAAAGCCAGTGTTTCTAGTCTCTGCTGCAGCACTCAGCCTGACTCAGGGCTGGATCCTGCTGCCGAACCACCCAGGAGATGGTGCTCTTGAACCGGAGATAAGCTCACTGCTGACCCAGAAGCGTCCCCAAACGCAGCCCTCCCTGTTTTTCCTTTGTGTTGCATGCTCTTTTGGGGGGTTCCCATTTCCTCTGGGGAGAAGAATGTGATGATGTTGTGTGCGGAGCATATTCCCATCTGATCCATAATGTAATTTCCAGCCTGGTGATCCTACGCCCCTGCCTGAAATGACGCTGGTGCTTGTAGGAGGTGTTTTTCTCTGGACTGTGAGACTAGTGAGATGCTGAAGCTGAGCACGGAACAGATTCGCAGCTGATTGCCCTCATTGGAGCCTGGGACGTGCTGTGCCCAAGCCAAGCATCTGAGGGGTGCCAACTCCATTGCTGCCAAGGTTCGGAAATCCATGCTCGTGTTTGGGGCTCCCTGTGGCCTCCTCACTGGGACAGCCTTTAACCATTGACACGTGTCTCAGAGGTAAGGGCGGTTCCGTGTTGGTGGGGGCCTGAGTTTGGCCCCATGGTGCTATTAGGCTACTGTCCCCTGGGATGTGTGGCGCACAAGGGGTTGAGGTGCCATTTGGGCACACAGCTTGGAGATACCCTCACCTTGGGTTGCTGAGGTTGGAAGGGGGAATTTGGATGTGGTTTGGAGCATAGTGTCTGAGCAGGGGAGTGGCAAGAAGTCAGGTGGCTGCAGTGGAATTTTCTGCTGAATTGCCATCTTGTTGGTTTCAGGGGCTTTGAATTGGGTTGGAAAGGACCAAAAGTAGCCAGATCTGAGCAGCCAGTGCTCAAGTGGGCCTTGGCAAAATGGGAAATAAAAAAGTTCTTAGCAGTGTCTTTCCTCAATTGCCAGAGAAGTAATGACTTTTTTTTTTTGCAAATGTATCCAATGAGTGAGGTTTTATTTTATATAAATCCACTAAGTCTTTTACCTATTTTCTATCTGAGCTGGCACCACCAAATCAGATCTTTATGTACTGAAGCAGAGGCATGCAGCAGAGAATACTGCTGCTGTTGTGGTGGCTTACAGGGCCTGGGTATATGAGCTGCACCCTGCCTCAGAAGCTTGACAAGCTCAGTTCTGCTGCTCTGTGGCTACAGAGACCGTGTGGTGGGTGCAGGATAGCAGAGCCACTGCTTACAGCCCTGCTGGGGCCAATCCATAATGCCAGAGTTACCCTCAATGTGTTGTGTGTCTTCTCTTCTTGAGTAGTTAACAATAAATCAATGCTTAGCTTTACCAGTGGCAGACAGAGCAGTGTTAATTCTTGCTGTTATTTCTATGGCCAGACGTAATTTTTTTTTTAAGTTCTTTTCTCCCCAATTATTTACTGCTAATAAATGATTTAAAGCTCTGCCAGTGCATCTTGAGGTCTTCTCCTGCTTGAGTAATCACCTGGCAGCTCTAGGAGGGGGAGCTGGGCAGGGATGGTGGGGCAGCTCTGTTGCTTGTTGGTAATGAGGCCTTGTCAGCGAGAGGGAATTAAAGAAAAATTAAAAGAAGCTTCTACCTATTTAGCAATAAGTAAAACAGAATGAAATAGCCTGAAGCAAGTCTGCTCAGACACCTTTACTTTTTGCAGAGATATGATGTATGATTTAGCCAGCCCTGCTGAAAAGCTGTTCAGTTCTGTGGGGCAAATGAAGCCTGACCTCAGCCACCAATGACTGAGAGCTATGAACAGGAGAAGATCTGGGACTCACATGGTGACTTCAGCTCAATCAACACAATTCTGCACAATTCTGTCTAAGAAAAATAACTTCTTCCTATATATGAAAGGGGTATCTGGACTGGCACCAGGCTATAGCAAATATACTTTTTTTTTTAGGGGCTCTACTCTATTTTGCACTAAAATCTCTTGGACAAAACAAAGCACTAAGAATCAGAATAATGACTCAAACCTGGGTGACCTGTCTCCTCTGAGACCCCAAGCCATCAAGAGTTAATCCTTTGCATTGCCATTCTTCCTGAACTGGGAACTCTGCTCCAACAAGAGGGAGAGTGTGTGCCTCTTCTTGATAGTTGTCACCCCAACTTGTGGCTGGGTGCTTTCTGCAAGTTGGGCTGTGTTGGTTGGGCCTCCCTTGTGTTCAGCCTTGCTGTGTCCAAATGCAAGTAAGGCAGCTTCTGTCAGCCGGTTGTTTCTGGTGTAGGTGATGTGCTCCAGGTTGGCTACTTGCTGCCTGGTTTCTACTTCTGCCAAGTCTAAACAAGGTATATGTACCTGTCTATTCAGCCTGAATCAGAGTCAATGTAGGTATGGGATTTCAGATCAAGATTACCTGTTTTACGTGTTAACATCCTGATAGTTGGCTCTTGATCCTAAGCAACGTGCAGGAAGGAATTCAAGACAATCGTTGTGTCTGAAGCTGCTTTAACATAATATGGTCCTGTAGTTTGGTGCGAGAGGAAGTACTGGAAGTGACTGTGAAATCTGAACTTCAGTGTGAGCAGGTTTCAGTAACGTAGGGTTAATCAAGAAAACTCCTGAAGGAGAAATATAGGAAAAATATCTATAAAGATAACATGGATTGAAGTGAAGAATGGATAATAGAATCTGGAGGATATATATGTTGCTGAAGAAAATGATATTGGGCAGGAAAAGAGTAAACCAGTACAACTGAATGGCAGCTTTGAGAGGTTTGTTGGGTTTTCTGTTTTTTGTGTTTTTTTTTTTTTTTTTTGTTTTTGTTTTTTTAAATCTAAAGGAAATCTTTCCCAACTTTAAGCTTTCCTATACAATGGTGCATTAATTAGTGTAAGGGCTCAATGTGAGAGGGAATTAAAAGGAAATGTGGTAGACTGCAAGTATCTAGAGGGATAAAATAAAAACGCTTTAGGTTTATTCCTATTCTGTCAAATGATAACTGGTAGTTCAGAAAGTGGACCACTAAAGATTAAAGCTAGAAATTAAAGATGATAAAACATTACGGAGAATCTAAATGATTTCCTTGCGTCGGTCTTCAGCACTGAGAGTATTAGAGCCGTACCTACCGGGACTTGTTCTTTTCTAGTAATCAAGATGTGTCAGAAGAAGAGCTGGAACAAATCAAGAACTTAAAAATCAGTAAGTCACCAGCTCCAGATGATACTTTAAAGAGTTCTGGAGGAACTTGGTATGAGATAGCTGAACTGCAGCAAAAATGCGCTTTCCATAATTTTCAATAGCTATTCTGTTGGAGAAATGGAGAAATAACAATTACACCTGTAATTTAAAAACAGGATTGTGATGGTCTGTGGAAGCATACTGTTTACCAAGCCATACATTTATGCTTTATAAGCTGTTTGGAAAGGGAACCGAACATGTCAGGATCTAAAGGGTAAGGCTTTTGCGTCTTACAATTAGTCCTCACCTTTGTTGTTATTCCAGCTGAGCTAATTAAGTTATGGACAAGAAGAGGCAATTACTCTAATTTAGCTAAACATCAAAGTACCTTTGACCTGTGTAGGATATTGTAAATCAAAGAGAGGGGAGCTTATTGCATAGATCTTGGCTTATGGGACCAGCTTAGGCTGAACGTTCACAAAGGCCTAACTATCCTTGTCACTTCCATGCTGCATTGGACCTGTGGCTTTACTTCTCTGGGATGGTGTGATCCCACTCAGGTGACACTAAGACCCACTTCCAGATGCCCAGAGAAGTGAGAAACCAAGAATGGGAGGGTTATCAATTTCAAGCCTCTGAGAAAGATGCAGGAACTCTGCTAATCTAAGTTGGGGTAGGGGTCAGAAAAGGTGAATATTGGTAAGAAAGCTGACATGCAGAGGTATTTCTGAGGAACTGAAAAGGAATTGAGATCCAAATGGGGAATTGTTAAGTTAGTGGAAAGAAAGGCTCTTTCTACAGCATAGAAATGTGCTGCTGCTTTAAAATGATGTGGAATGATTTTTTTTTTTTTTTTTTTTTTCCAAACTATTGGAAGAAATCACTGCAGTTTTTCACAACTTCAGCCAGTGTGGGTGTGGCTTTTAATAAATCTCAGGACTACTACTTCCTTATTTCTGCTACTTATTCTTTTGGTTTTGCCTTTGCAAATCCTCCTACTGTTTCTTCTCATTTCTATTTCCATGTATTCTAAGATCTCCCTTCCCTCTCTCTCAGATGTGTGAGGATGCTGCTCCTCACATCACTGCCAGCCAGCTCACAGCTGTATTGACTCTGGTGCAGAGCCACTCAATTAGGCCAGCACTGGTAATTAGAAAGCATAGGATGCAATGTCTTGCTTTAGAAATCTGTATGTCTTAATATGCATTGTACTCTGCTGATTGGGAAATGCTGATTTATAGCAACGTTAAGAGATGCAATCTAAAAAACACAAACAGATTTTTACAGGCTTCTGAAATAGCCCTGCTGCCTTTTTCTGCACTGTTCTGTACAATTATTCTCACGTCAGTAGGTTCCAGTAACAGCGTTTCTAGTGTTTCACTGGGCATTTTGTAGGGAGCAGTGTCAACCACAAGATGCCAGGAGAAGTGCTATATTATGGATGATAAATGAGAATGTAGATTTTTAAGAAATCTGTTTCACAATTGCATTTAAATTTTCTGTGCAGTCATAGAAAGGAGGAAATGATGGTGTGCATGTGTCCGGAGCACCTTTCAAATCAGCTGATTTAGATGCTAACTTGGTCTGCCCTGTGCTGCCATGGCTAGAGCTGCCTGATTCTGATACTCTGCTTCCTGAATCCCCAGGGCCCTGCTGCTCAGCTGTCTCAGAGCTCCTCCATGGGAAAGGTCTCCCTTCCGTGAGCACAGTTGTTGTGGCTTATATTGCAGGACGAGGGGAAATGGTTTTAAGTTGAGGGAGGGGAGATTCAGGTTGGACGTCAGGGAAATTGTTTACAGAGAGAGTGGTGAGGTACTGGAACAGGCAGCCCAGAGAGGTTGTGAATGCCCTGACCCCAGAGGTGTTCAAGGCCAGATTGGATGGGGCCCTGGGCAGCCTGGTCTAGCATTAAATGGGGATGTTGGTGGCCCTGCATGTGGCAGGGGGGTTGGAGATTCATGATCCTTGAGGTCCCTTCCAACCCTGGCCGTTCTGTGATATATTGTCACAGTAATTCAGCAGCTTGGAATGAAAGTTTGGAAAGGTGTAGACTTGTGAGTGTTCTCCAGATTCAAATGGAGGCAAATTGCTAATCCTTCAGGCTTGTTAGGTTTGTGTCCCACCTTCCCATTTATGAAAGCACCTGGTAACTGTGTTTGTTGTGAGTGCAACAGAACTAAGACCTTATAGATATTATGAATCACATGTACATAAATACCTCCATCAGATGCTTCTCTAGAGCTTGTTTCCATGCCTGAGACTCAGACCAACACAAGGTGATTGTGTTCCCTCTGCATAAGCAAAACAGCAGGCAGCTCTGACATCTCTTCCCACATCCAAAGCTCCTCTGGGCTGGGTAATGCAATAAAGTGTTGAAACTGTTGTTGATTGAGCAATTATCAATTTCTCAAAGCCGCTTTACTCA